TATATATATATATATATATCCCCTCCAACATTGCTTCTAATAAATACTAAATATTTTAAGAAAATTTCAATATTTTTTTCTCAGAATCACAATCAGCAGATTTTATATCGAAAATATATGGAAGATCATTACTTAAAATTTTTTATTAACCTTGAATTATCGATTCTTATATTGATACTTGAAATTAATCTTTTATTTCCAAAGTGTCACTCAATTAATTATCACATTGTTATCATTAGCATACCATATTAGTAGTCTATAAATTGTTATTCGATAAGAATTACTACCGTTCTCTATTGTAATCTGTTGATCCATCATAATGAGTATTAAAATAGCACGTAATACAAGATTAAAGAGGATACTTTTAGATTCAAGCTTCGAAATAGTCAAGAAATATAAAACAGCGCATATTTTGATAGTTTTATCGATCAAAATCAATAATGCGATTGTTAGAAGCTACGAATCAAACATTCTCAACGATTCACAACAATTCCATGATCCTATTTATGGAAACTGTTGATCATTTCGATCACTAGCTTATACATAAAGAACCTAAATTCTTGCAGATCGTTCTGAGAAACAGTACTTAGAATGCAGCTTGTATCAAATTTCTGGCTTATTTCAAGCATCAAAACAAAAGTACCATCAATTAATCTGATCAATAGTCTGTTTAGTCTATTAACTCTTTGTCATCACTAATTTTCTGTTGTTTTTGACCTTCAAATATCATCGGTCATTGAACGTTCTCGATTGTAATAAGTACCAAAGTACAACGCTGATAAACAATAGATAGATACCTACTAGAGCCACGTGATGATGTTTTTCTGTTCTAATCATACCTACGCAGTGACATGTGACTCCGATTAGAACTCACACAGTCACGTTTTCTGCTCAGTTCAAGGTGACCTTCATCTACTCTGGGTAAACATAAAAACATAAACATTGAGGAATACTTTAAAATAGTTAAAAACTAATCACAGCACATGAACTGAGAACAATGCACTATTTTCAAGGGTATTCTTTTTCCTAGGTTACAATTTCAACCTATTAACGCTTATGTCATAAACGTCCCGGAAGAATTTCACTTACATCATGATTACGTGACATATTCTACGTCAGAGTTTAAAGTCAGGGAATAATGACTCATATATTAATCACATACGACTTAGATCTTACGTACAACCTAAATTCGCGTGATGACATAATTACGTTAATGCCTGTATTGGGTACCATATCAGATAATATAATATATCCATGTGAAATTTTTGATGAGGAAAATGTTTATGTATACATTTGTTAGTTATTGTCGTCGGATTTCCTGATTCTCTAGAGTATGTAATTAATCATGAACAAACACGCAATGTTCCTTTTATTACGCAGCTGCGAACATTTTACGCTAATTTAATTGCCCTTTCATTACCAAGAACAATAATTAACCACAACCAACCCAACTTAATGGTAATTCGAGACTATAGCAGTCACGAGGTCATTACTAATGGAATGTTTTTGTAAAATTGAGCTATTGCGCAGTAAATTACTTGCTGCCTCACATCTTTGATATGCCCCAACGGACATGAGAAAGTAAACAATCTTGTTTTAAAAATAAAATGAAACCTATAGAAACAAAATTGATGGGTCGATTCTAATTGTGTTTGGTGAGTTTTCAATGACTAGCTGCCAACTTTTTATGTACTTTTTATCGAGGTTAATTAATATGGATGAGTCGGGGCATTTCGTGACGGCAAAACACCTACGCGCACATGCGCAGTCAACTAATCGCTACAGAACTACTTTTTTCACTGATATCGAACGTGTAACTCTAATTTATTACGCCGTTGTTTTGTTTGGCCCAGTACTTTGCTTGACCTCGAATCGTGATTGATTTTTCAGAATTTTCGTGTAAATATTGTCTCAAGCAAATTATGCGTACCCAAGGGCCTCTAGGTTAGGGTGATTCATCGCGTATAGCAGAAGAATTTATCACACATGCCAACGTAGTACAGTTATTTATGCGAGTTTCGTGTTTATCAGAGGCCCCTCATAATTTTTGTTCAGGTACATGCTGCTGCTATCAATAGAACTGTGTTTGTTCGCTGATTAGTTAAGCGCGCGTTACATTTGCACGCTGTTTATGCTCATTTTATAAATGAATAAAAAAGATGCAATAAAACACATTTTGTCTAATAAAACAATACATTTCTCAATTTTTTTATTACTTTAAACTCATAAATTACATAAAATACATGTTATAGATACTCGGCAGTCTCCGTTGTAAGTCTTATAAGCCAGTCAAAAACTAAAATTAAACGTATTTATGGTTTATAAATAATTTACTCAAAAATTTTATAATTATCACTCTGTTTGAGATAAATTATTGTATAAACCAATTAATTACTGAAGGCTTTTTAACAGGAATAAATAATATTTCGCTTGTCTCCAAGCTTAGAACTTATTTAATATTTTCTTGTTTGACAGTTTTTGGCTCGGAAAAAAATATATTTTAAAAACTGTCAGTGACAAAAATAATAAAAATAAATCACACAACAAAATAAATTAACTTTAAAACATAATATATATATAAATATATAAAATTATAAATATATAATTTATATATATATAAATATATAAATATATAAAATATATTAAATCTCTGCGTGGCAGAGGCTACTTCTAATCTTAACCAAACTACTATTAATCTACTTGATTGTTCACAACATCTAAAGGTATAATTCTCACAGCAAGATTAGGAACATAAATTAAAATTACAACTATTAATGATGATGCGTTAGTAAGCTACATATTGCACTATTATTATTTTCTCTAATAAGTCTAACCCGTAATTCCGAAATAATATAAGAATACTAATCATTACTCTAATTACAATCATTTTCAAATTCTAAGCCTCAATAATTTGGAATTATTGAATGGCTTTACTTACATAGCAATATTGTCAGTCTTTGATTTTTTTTTTTTTTTTTTTTACGACGGTGTTACGGGTGGTTTATTTCCCGTACGATTGGCCCTGATTAAAATTTAATAAATAACAATATATTCAACAAATGACTCTAAGATGCTTCAGGGCGCCACCAGGATTATTTTCTCGGTTCCTGGAACCGGATACCAGAACTGAGTTTGTTATTCTACAGGGAGAGAGAGAGAGAGAGAGAGAGAGTGGAGGAAGTTGATCTGTAAATAATTAAATTTTTATTTAAACAATATCCGGATTTTATTCAACAATAAAATAAAAACAATTTAACAACTCGTGCACTTGCACGTACTCCCAACTCACTTACACTACTCACTTACTACTACGACTTATAACTACTGGAGGATTTCGGGCTGGAACCGGCGACTCCACTTAATACTACGACTTATAACTATGACTTCTTACTTCACGCTTCTCAGCGGGAAGTCGCTACTACAACTTATAACTACTTATCAATAAGACACCTCGTACAAAGACTTCAGTGCACGAGGGCTTATCAATAACGCCTTGCTACAGAAGCAACAGCCTAGTGACTGCAACATAAGCCAAGAAGCCTCTGCAGCTCTCTCACACACATACCCTTTACGTCGCGCTGTCCGCCGGACCCTCACGCTCTACGCCAGCGAAACACCTCGCAACGGACTGCACGCTTGCGAAGGAACGCTGGTAGCTCTTACACACACATACCCCACACGTCTCACACACACACCGACTCTACTTTACTATTTTATTTTCGGATTTACAACAATTAACTCCGAAAAATGTCAACGTTAGATTCTCATTAAAACTTATCATTCATTAGCTCGCAAATAAAACTCATAATTTATTCTCACGAATTAACAAATTTACTTCTTAAAATTTCCGGCTTAAACCGACGCTCCTTTTCCCTCCATTTTTAACACGAGCTTATTTCTGCGCATTAACAATTTCTTAGAATACTCTTTTGTAAAATTTGACTAAATTTTACTCGGACTTAATCCACACGAATAATTAGTTTTATAAATAATTTTACCGGAATAATGATGATAATAATTATGGTAATTTTTACAGGACATTTTCAATATAAGACTCCCCAAGCAGAAATTGGCAATTAAATTAGATAATAAATTATAATTTTACTCAATATGAAAATTACGTGCCTCAAGTTCTTTTCTGCGGGTGTATCAGTCTTGTCTGCGGCGAAATTTATTAAATTAATTCTTAATGATTAATAACCCGTGGAATACTTATTTTCTGACAAATTGTGAATAATGATTAATTAATAAATAATTCACTTCGGGGAAAAAAGTAGATACGGAAAATTATCCACGGCGTTAAATTTCTAAATGCGTCGCAGTTTTCTCAACAAATCAATTCCGGTAAATAAAATTGTTCCGAATAATTAATTAAATAATTTCCAATAAATAATCAATATAAATAAATAAAATAATTAATCAAGTGGTAATTCAATTGCTAAAATTAGTCCATGTATTTATTTTATAATTTTACTGCGTCACAAATTCTTAAGGAATTTGCGCGCTCAAAATGGACGCCGTTACTGCGTAGTTAGCTTGACCTCGGGTACCGAGAGACGCTTGACTGGTCGTGAGCTATGACTGGAATATTTTCTCGATGTTCAGAAAATTATATTAATAATTTTTTAATAAAAATGAATTTATTACTGCCAATCAAAGATGTTAATTATTATTAACCTGCAGAATTAATAATTTAGATACTCACGACCAAACCCAGGAGGTCTGGAACATTCCTCGGGTGTAACAATCCCCAGGAGAAATTGTTCTCAAAGCTAGCAAAAATTAATTCAAACAGTTAAATTAGGATTGAATAAAATATTATAAGACAATTGAATTACCAAATTAATTTATGAGAAGTAGTTCAGTGATTTGAGCCGGGTGTGAACCCCAAGGCTCATCACTACCAGAGTCCAATACCTGGTGTAAATTGGTTTGAAGAAACTCTCTGGTTGCTAATGGCTTCCTTCTTGGACTCCTCGATGTTACTTGTTTTAGCACTACACTACTTCTGCCGACACAACGCATGGCTCGCTTATTTAACGACTCCCCAAAATACTCCCTCCTACTCTCTCTCTAGGGCCGAAGATCGATGCGCCAAAATGCTAGTCGAAAAAGTTATCGATCTCTGGCGACTTATCGATTAAGGGTAATTTACCCTGTTACAACGGGGAAAACCTTTTCAAGACTCCGAACGATGATGTTCGGTAGTGCAGGATTTTCACCTACAAAAAAAATCCCTCGTCTTTACTACTCGCGCATAGTGCAAGAAAGACTGAGCCTAAACTACGTTAGTATCACTTCATTCCAGTCTTTCTGAAAATTTTTCCATTAAAAAGCGCCGCGCGTAGGCTGCGATTTAATCAAGAGTCATGCCTGTAGTTGCTTCAGTGTTGGTTTGATGCTTTGATGGAGGGGCATCAGCGGTTCAGTGGAAGCTTGATTGCTCGAAGTCGTCGGTTTAGTCCGGGCAGTACTTGCACATTGAAGTATCGTAGACCCACTTTGTGTCGTTAACATTCAACCATTACACCATATTTAAACCGAATCTCTTGCATCTTACTGTGTAAGGTACTGAGGATAGGTTGTAGATCAGTATTCCAACCACGTTGGAGCCCATGTTGTAATACAAAATTTAACAGCACCGAACAAGCATGATCATCTAAATCTGGCCTTATAGTAGAGCCAACATTATTAGAAGCCTGCGCTTTCTCACTCATTGATGAACAAACACTCAGTGCATTTCTGTTAAAGACTTGTGGTAATAATCGTCGAGCTAATGATTTGCAATCTTTCGATACTTGCTGACAGTATTTGAGGTCTCCGTAGCTGACGTAAACACCACTTTGGGGCATAAGTTCTACGAGTCCCGGCAGATTTGATCGATACTTTAATGTCCATCTTGTATCATAAGCATCATATTCCGGTGGTAGAACGAACCGGTACAACTTGTTGTGTTTTTTTTTCGGCGTTTTGTTAGCAACATCATTACTATGTTGATCTTGATTACTAAAACTAGCACTTGGTGTAACTTTAGTGTGTCTTTCTTCAGGGGACCGTGGACTTTCTGGTCTCAAGTTGATCGAGGGAGATGCGTTGCTAGCTGCGTTTCCCGCTGTGTTAAATTGTTCGACGGCACCCAATAACTTTTTGTATGTCTTGGCAGTATCGAGGATTGAACTCCGTAAGGTGTTGTACATGTCAGTTGTATAACACAAAGTAGAGCCCATTTGAGTGAAGAGGGTAGCAAAGTTGTCCAACATTTGCTGCTCTAAAATAATTTTCCGATGCGTCTGATGGTTCGTTGACGTAGAGTTTTGGGCAGCTGTCGGTCTATCTGCCGAACCATGCCCAGGATCATTAGCAGTGCCATAGACATTGTTCGTTGTTTCAGCAGGTGCCTCGTCTGTTGACATCTCATGATCTGAGATTACTTCCTGATCCGTAACAGCATCGGAATCTGAAGTTACTGCATGATACGGTGACAGAGTTTCGTCTACCATGCACTCGTCTGTTTGACACGCATTCTCCATGACGTTTAGATGACTTCCGGTTACAGATAACCCAGTTGCGTCATCCATAAAAGGAACTCGTTTCGTTTCTGAATTCGTTTGAGTAGAATGGTTAACTATCTGTTCCTGCCTGTATAGGTTTTGATATCTGTTTTCATGGGCTGTTGTATGTTGTATTCTTGATGGTTGGTAGATTGGGTGACCAGGCCATTCTGTGTTTTGTCTTTCGCTTGTTTCTGATGCTATGATATTCTGCGGGCTGGTTGTTAAGTCTACATTGTTTTCTCCAGTAAATCGTGGACTCATTCTTGCTTGCAGTTGTGGATTATTCAAAAGGAAGTCATTATGAGTAGTTGATAGTTTTTGCCGTATTGAATTCAGAGCATTTGTCAAAATAGGTGGTGGCGTTTTCTTAGTGACTCCTTGGAGAGAAGGCATTTGTTTTCTGTTTTTAGGCTTGATGGAGATGCCAATACGTAGTTTGGGTCTCTGCGGTTGCTGCTGTGAATCCAACTGATTTGGCTGCATCTGTTTCTGTTGTGCAAACTCGGGAGTCTGATACGTCGGATTCGAAAAGTGTATTGAATTTTGTCTAATTGATGGAATCCTCATATTGATAGTTTGAGATGTAGGTCGATGATCGTAAGTGTTGCTTTCTGAAGAACCCTGCACTCGTTCTTGTTGCAAGTTATCTCGATTGGTCGGTAGATATTGATTTTGATAAGAGTGCGCATAATATTGTTCATGCGCTACCGAATTTTGATGTCCATCTGATACTCGGATATAGCTAGGAGGATTATGAGATAAGCTTGAAAGCTGTTGTGAAATAGCTGCAGCATTATTGACACTCTGAAAAACATTTCTTGGATCGACAGCAGCCAAATCGGTCGGTGTTTTCAAATTCATTCTAGTTCCATTAATTTCTTGAGGGGTCATTCCGATGCTCCTGAGCCGAGCTATTTGGTCTCTGTTATTTCCAGTGTGCGTTCTTGAAACTCGTGGATCATTTTGAGATTGATTCTGAGTAACCACTGGTGGTTGTTCTACTGAGCGCGTCAACAAATGTCTGGTTTGGTCGATTGAATTTGATGGATTCTGTGTGGCAATGGCCAAATTTCTTTCCATTTTCGTGGGACGTAATTTTTTTTCAACTTGTTTTTGAATCGGTATTAAACGTCGACCCCCGTTCATGTGCCTGTATAGATGAGCAGAAATTTTGAGTGAGTCTAATCCCTCATAAGAGGTAGAAAGTTTCTGACATGGAACGTCATGAACGAGTTGTTTGTGATCATCAACATTTGCAAGAGATCGAACATTCTTAATCTGTAGTTGAAAGTTTGATAATGAACTTCTGTCTGGAATATATTCTTGATGATTGTACTGATTCGGCTGAGTGCTCTGTTCCGCTGCAGTAGAAGGTTTCGCTGCTGTCATTGACACATCCGTTGTGTTGCTAGAAGGGTTAGCTTGGCTCATGCTATTATTTTGATCGGGTTTCTTAACAAGTTGAGAGTGATCTTCGTCATCAATATTGATGACTTTAGTACGTTTATCAACGTCTGTTACGGATGAGCTTAAAGTTTGTTCGGTTTGCTCAGTACGCGGAGTTTTAGACCTTGGTTCAGTACTTTTGTCAGCATAAGAAGCAACAGAAGATTCTTCTGTCGGACAACATTCCATTGATTGGTTATCTAGGATGATAACCGACTGTTTTCTTTTTGAAGATCTAGTCTCTACTTTGGCGTTATTAACAACCGCACTGGATGACGGAGCAGATTCATCTTGCTTCAACCGTTTTTCTTCAATTTCTTTCTTCGATATTGACTTTCCTGGTCGCTTGATTGATAATATCGGTAGAGGTTTCCGGAAATTATCATTGGATTCTGACATACGGTTTTGAATGGCATTCAAAAATTTTTCGTTTACCGAAGGCTTTTGTGGTAATTCTGAAACTAAAAATTCTTATTATTATTTGGAAAGCTTGAAATTTAAAATAAGTAGTATTCAAGAATGTATTTACAGTAAAAAATTCAACTGTGAGCACTTATGAAATAATTTAATTCTCACTTGTTGGTTTTGATTTCTCTTCAACCAAAGGTCCGTAATCATTTCTCGTAGCGATCCAAAATTCTGCATCACTGTAAGAATCTGAAAAAAATATATCAACATTATTATCTTTTAATTTATGAGATGTTCAGAATCTGAATATACTTCAATGATATAACGCACAATCTATTAACTAATACATTTACTAAAACTCACTTGATTCATATTTGATAGAGGCCAGATAAAATCTCCACTCATCATTGTATCTCTCTTTCCTCTTCACACGATCTCTTGTATCAAAAGGATCTTCGTCTTTAGGGTACGCAACAACGACCTTGTCATCCGTCGCTTTACGTACTATCAGCCACGTGTTCGGCACGCATACGTAATCGTCAATACTTTCAAAAGGCAATTCTATGAATTGAACAACATAGAATGCTCGCTTATTATCATTTTTACGTGTCATCTGAAACAATAAAAAACACTTCCGTAAACATCAAGTAATTTAATATTGTGAAAACACTAGTCTCCACTGATTACCAATCTACTCTCTAAAAATAAAATAGTGGATTTTCACTAATCTGCAGTACATATTCACTCATTGTCACAGTTATAAGTATACTACTAAAAAATAGTGAAAACTCACTGATTGAAATAGTGAAAAATAAAGTTTACTATTATAAGTAGTAGGAATCATCACTAATTGAATCAGTGAATACGACCAATGGTTAAATAAGTGAAATCTATCGATACCTTAATAAAAAAAAAAAAAAATATTCAAAGAAATGAATAATATACACTCCATATTATTTATTGTATCACTAATGATAATTATTCGATGAATTTAATCACTTTCATTATAATTTTCAATACTGATAGAATAGCAACAAAATACAATTAATAATTTCATAGTATTTAAATAAATAATGAAATAGTGAATACTGTAATTTTTCATTTGAAATATCTAATAATTGAACAAAAAAATGATTATTGCACGACTCAGGATGCAAAGCATCAGAGAGTGCTTTACGATCGATAAATTTGTTTCATGATTATTAGTTTCAACCTAAAAATGAAGATAACATGAGTTAGGTATACCGAAATTATAATTATCATGAAAACAATTATATTTTAAATTGTTAGATTTTTTTCCAAATTCATTCATCTCATTGGCCTTGAAATGCAATCTAAATTAGGTGATAATCAAATTGATCTTTACCTTTTATTTCAGCTATGTATTTCTTGTAACAGCAAAATTTTCTCATCACAACTGTCCACGTTGTAGAGAAAGGGAAGCGATTCGTCAACTGTAATTCCCCGCCGTCATTGAACTCAATTTATACCACTGGATGTACCGATCGGTCCAGTGGAGGGGGAAAACGTTTCATATTGCGTCAACAGCTCGATAGTAGGTAGTTAGACTCAGTTCGTAATCAGTATTTAATTCCACGTCGTGAGGTATTACGAAATACTTCTACTCGGTGACGATAACAATAAAGTAAATATAATACGTTACATAAGTTAATGTAATGAGTCATATCATATCATGTTGACTTTACTATAATACTGTTTCGATTAGATTATTTGGTTGGATCTTCCGAAAAAGGTTTTTAATAATATCCTAGAGTAATTGAATCAAGTAATTGTTATCAGGTTTATAATTATAGCATAGAATGATTGAATGTACAAATGAGTATTGAGTTCGTTTGCTGATAACATATCACAAACCAAATTAATATTAGCATAGCAGTCCCTCATAATGTGATAATTTTATCACTGCATGACGACAACGTGTTTATGAACTGGTACCGTGAATCAACAACTATATGATTTATGCTAATTAGATACGCGAAAATAGGTCGTTAGTCGTTTATAATTTATGCATTAACGTCACCGTATTTGGAACTCATCAGGTTACTTTTTGGAAATAAGCCAAACTAGACTATTTAGAGTAACGAATTCGATAGGTAAAATTAATGTTTCAGAAATAAATCTGTTTCCACAGTTTACCCTGATAGCCAGAGTTTTAGACCAACAATGTTGGTGTCAGATAGTTGCCACCAACTTAGCGACAACTTGCGGTCAAGTTCTGAATTTGTAACTGTTGGCATCAAGTGGGTGACAAGTTTCTGAGAAAAAGAAGGCCAATCTACTGCCGCAATATGTCGCCCAATTTCTTGAGAAACTTGTCGTCAACTTAATGTGAAAAAGTTTCAGAAGTAGTTTTTGCTGACAACTTGGTGAACAAGTTGACACCACCAATCGAGTGCATTTTCAAGATTTGCTGCCAAGTTGGTGACAAGTTGCGGCAGTAAATCAACAGAAAGTTGCGACCAACTTGACTATCAGGGTATATTCCCTGAATATGACCAAAGTATTAAAATTAAGAGATATAAAATGTTATCATTTGAATTTCAATTGAAGATGCACTATGCTGCATTATGCGTTAAGCAATGCACTTCCGCTGGAAAAAGTTATGCAGAATAACTGCTAATGATAGTGTTGACTCTTATTTTAAGTTAAATTGACATCCCGGTTTTTGACTTGAAGATAATGCCCTTAAATTATTGACAAAGATCCTCTAGTCGAAAATTTGGCTGAGACGCTATCACGTTCGTTGTAAAAAATCACTATCACCATATCACTTATTTTTTTTCTAGACTTATGAAATACTAATCAGTAGTTCTATGATAATTTTTTTAAAGATTAAATAAAAATTTTATGTAACATTGTCAATCGGAAAAATTTGTAGTATTAAAAAAGTGGGTCAAGTATTGTTATTATATTGTTATTGTTGAACTCTGATCAGTCGTTTTGTTCAGTATTTAAAAAGCTTATAAATTTTTATCAAGTTGGAAGATTCAATTATAACGTTATTTAGTTTAATGCCATAATCATCAAGCAATATATATATATATATATACTCCCCCTTAAGTCCAATCTAATAAAAAGCATTAATAAAAAAATAATTTTTCTTTATCATCAGAAAATTAACATCTAAACATTATTTTTCATTATACCAGAAGCTAATTTGCGCGCGCTTCACTGAATATAGAGTTTGCATATATTTTCATATTTATGATATATTCGACCTATCACATCACGAATAAATTGATGTCACATACATTTCATCTCAATTTTATTATAGGATAAATTAGAATAGTAAAGCACTACCTCAAACGCCGCGCGCGGCGTTTGAGGTAGTGCTCTACTTTAAACTTTTAAAGTCAACAAATTTTCTAAGCTCAAAATACCTTGACTTTATTCATATTGCACTTATAAGATGATATGAGTACTTGTACAAATGATAAAGCAATATTCTCATTAACACATTTATAATTTTTAACAGACAATTTAACTGTTTACACATGAAAAAATTTTCTGACACAGCTGGATGTATCCATATCCGGTGATTTAAAAAATTTCATACATGGCCTAAAAAAGTCTATTAATGTAGAAGCACCGTTTGTGGACACTATACCGTTTTTGGACATTTGATGTCCAAATTTTTGTATAAATAATTAACACATGTAATAGCATCATAAACTCTGTTTGTATGAATGTAATCGTTCAAAATTCTATGAAAACATCATTTTATCATTACAATTTTCTGCACAATCATTGAATTTTAAAGTTTCCAAAGCTGGTGCTTCTACCCTATATGCATTATTGATTTTTGATCAGTCCCGTGATGTGAATAGACCATATCAGGCTAAATATGGATCAATTAGGTCATATAAGGCTTGATATGTTCGTCTTCTTAGAAGAGAATTGATTTTAAGATGCCAAGTTTTGAAATAAAAGGAATTTTTTATTATAAATAAGCAAAACTATTTAAAATCAATTTTTTCTAGAACACAGTATTGTTTCCTTCTATTGTATCGAACTTTCTGAAAAATTTTACTTAAAAAAAGCTGTTAGGCACAGTATTTCGTGTAATTTTATGATATTTTGAACTTTGCTTGATTATTGACTAATCATCATGACAACTAGTCTCAGATAAGTATTCTTGATTTGATTTATTATCATAACCAACTTTCATCAATTGATTCGTTTCGAAATTTGAAAAGCTATTTGCTTATGAAGTTTGTTAATGATTAAAAACAATTTTAACCGCAATAAAGTCTCAATTAGATTACTTTCTAAATTCAGCTTGATCGGAAAATGTATCGCTGAACTATAATGTACTCATAAACAAATACAACCTCATAAAACAAAACATAAATTTCTTAAAAGAAAAATAAGATTATGGAATTAGGAAAAAATTCCAGGCTGATAGTATCGTTTTATTAGCTTTCAAATTTAGAAGCTTCTAGTAAGTTATCAATCCAAATTGTCATCTGCTATAAAGAAAAATATGTTTACTGCCCTTAGTGACAATGAATCATCACGCTAATTATAGCGTTTCCACCGTGATGATCTCATTAGACACGTGATACATGAGCTTCGTCACGTATGTTGTCTTTCTTGTTATCAGTAACTGCTCCTTCTCTAAATAAACGTGGCAGAAGCATTTAACACGTGTTTATGTAACCCCCACGCAATTATCGAAAACAATTACATGTTGCATTAGGTATTAGTGAGTCACGTGAAAATATAAGCATTTATCTAATGGTTTTTCCAAACGGCTTTGATTTGAATATGTTAGAAGGACAAAGGAAGCTTATATCAAAATTGTAGTGGTCCTATCAGAAATAAGAGAATAGCTTTATAATCTGTTTCATGAAGCGTTATAAAGACTGTAGATAAATCCTTGTTGTTTTTGAATAAGGTTTGAGACATTGGTGTATGTATTCAATAAAATAAATACAGCTGATAAATAAAACAAATATTAACAATTTTCTAAAATCAATAATACCTGTAGTTGATTCTTAATACTGTTGTAATACTCAAACTACAGTCTTGAAAATATTAATTAATACCCGTAAACCATCCCAAAAAATTGAACTAATACACTATCATTAACCTAATAAATAGTAATTAATTTTGCTACAATAAATAATACAAGTAGACAATACAAATTCAAATCTCAACAATAGTAGGACAAGAACACTGTTCACTAACAATAATAGCTCGCTTTAACATTTGCACTATTCAATTTTCTAATGCACTAAAAACTATAACATAAAATTATTGAGCGCATTAAATATGGAATGCAATAAGTTATTGTGATGAAAGATCAATGAAAGTGATTGATTAAATAAATGAATTAATAAATCAATGACAAGATTCTTAGCCTTAGTAATTAGGACCATAAGATAACTCGACTTATGATCAATGATTAATAATCATAATAGTTAACATTCAACCATTACACCATATTTAAACCGAATCTCTTGCATCTTATTGTGTAAGGTACTGAGGATAGGTTGTAGATCAGTATTCCAACCACGTTGGAGTCCATGTTCTAAAACAAAATTTAACAGTACCGAACACGCATGATCATCTAAATCAGGCCTTATATTAGAGCCAACATTATTAGAAGCCTGCGCTTTCTCACTCATTGATGAACAAACACTCAGTGCATTTCTGTTAAAGACTTGTGGTAATAATCGTCGAGCTAATGATTTGCAATCTTTCGATACTTGCTGACAGTATTTGAGGTCTCCGCAGCTGACGTAAACACCACTTTGGGGCATAAGTTCTACGAGTCCCGGCAGATTTGATCGATACTTTAATGTCCATCTTGTATCATAAGCATCATATTCCGGTGGTAGAACGAACCGGTACAACTTGTAGTGTTTTTTTTTCGGCGTTTTGTTAGCAACATCATTACTATGTTGATCTTGATTACTAGAACTAGCACTTGCTGTTACTTTAGTGTGTCTTTCTTCAGGAGACCGTGGACTTTCTGGTCTCAAGTTGATTGAGGGAGATGTGTTGCTAGCTGCGTTTCCCGCTGTGTTAAATTGTCCGACGGCACCCAATAACTTTTTGTATGTCTTGGCAGTATCGAGGATTGAACTCCGTAAGGTGTTGTACATATCAGTCGTATAACGCAAAGTAGAGCCCATTTGAGTGAAGAGGGCCGCAAAGTTGTCCAACATTTGTTGCTCTAAAATAACTTTCGGATTCTTCTGGTGGCTCCTTGCCGTAGAGTTTTGGGCAGCTGTCGGTCTATCTGCAGAACCCTGCTCAGGACCATTTGCAGTGCCGTAAACATTGTTCATTGTTTCAGCAGGTACTTCGTCTGTTGACATCTCATTATCTAAGATTACTTCCTGATCCGAAACGGCATCGGAATCTGAAGTTACTGCATGATACGATGACAGAGTTTCATCTACCCTGTACTCGTCTCTTTGACACGCATTGTCCATTACCCCTCGATGACTTCCATTAACGAGTACACTTTCATTTGGACTTGCTTGAAATTGCTGATTATTTAGAAGATAGTTGTTATGAGTAGTTGAAAGTGCTTGTCGTACTGACTGTAGAACCTTCGTAAGAATAGGTGACACCGTTTTTTTTGTGACTCCTTGAAGGGTAAGTGTTTGCCGGTTGTTTTTTGGCTTGATAGAGATGCCAATACGGATTTTCGGTTTCTGTAGTTGCCGTTGTTCTACTGAGCTCATTGATGATGATATGGTTCGGTCCATCAAATTCGATGAGTTCTGTGAAGGAGTGGCAACAGTTCTTTCGATTTCCATGGGCTGTATTCTCTTCTCAACCGTTCTTTGAGTCGGTACTAAACGTCGTGCTCCATTATTTTGACTGCGTAGATTAGCAGAAATTTTCAGTGAATTTAGTAATTGATGTGAAGAAGGCTTGTTATTTGAGAAATCATCAGTGAGGGATCCTTGATTATCGTTGGACGTTTCTTCTAACGGGGCTACAGAAATTCTGGATTCTTGGACGTCATTAACAACCGCGTTAGACGAATGAGCAGCTTCCCCTAGTTTCAACCGTTTTCCATCGAGTTCTTCCTTCAATTCTGATTGTGCTCGTCGCTTGATAGATATTTTCAGTAGAGGTTTCCGAAAACTATCATTGGATTTGGACAAACGGTTTTGATTGGCGCTGCGCGGTTTCTTATTCACTGGAAGCTTTGGTTGCTTATCTGAAAATAAAAATTCTTATTATTATTTGGAAAGCTTGAAATTTAAAATAAGTAGTATTCAAAAATGTATTTACAGTGATAATTCAATTGTGAACACTGATGAAATAATTTGATTCTCACCTGTTGCTTTTGATTTTTCTTCAACCAAAGGTCCGTAATCATTTCTCGTAGCGATCCAAAATTCTGCATCACTGTAAGAATCTGAAAAAAATATATCAACATTATTATCTTTTAATTTATGAGAAGTTCTGAATCTGAATAGATTTCAATGATATAACGTACGATTTATTAACTAATACATTTACTAAAACTCACTTGATTCATATTTGACAGAGGCCATATAAAATCTCCACTCATCATTGTATCTCTCTTTCCTCTCCGCGCGATCTCTTGTATCAAAAGGATCTTCGTTTTTAGGGTACGCAACGACGGCCCTCTGATCCGTCGCTTTACGTACTATCAGCCACGTGTTTGGCACGCATACGTAATCATCAATACCTTCAAAAGGCAATTCTATGAATTGAACAACACAGAATGCTCGTTCGTTTTCACTTTTACGTGTCATCTGAAACAATAAAAAATACTTCCGTTAATATCAAGTAATTTAATATTGTGAAAACAACACCAGTCACGTGTCAGTATAAGGTTGTTGATCACCCCAGTGGGCCTCATTATTTATAAACGTGACTCACTCTCCATTGCCGCGTGGAATATTCCACTTGATATTCTATCATCGCAATAATATTCTATTTCACAGAACTAATAATAAATCTTACCGTCATGATGCTTCTATGTATTCTATGTATGAATTCCAGATATTTCCATCAGAATTTTGTTCTCCTTGTAAGTTGATGAGTCACTTTCTTCCACTTGTTTTTTTCACTTGCTGATCAAACGGATAAGATATTTCACGTTCGAAGTCAACTCTTGAATGGAGTCCTCGCAGGTGCGCATGCCGTATTTGATGGAGTATGGTGACGTGAAAATTTGAGAGTGGGGGAAACCTAAAGGGTGTGGTCACGTTTTTGTAATGATAATATCACGGCTATTATCGCTAATTGATCTAAAACGTACCTATCTCTGCCCGTGGGCGCTGAATTACAGTATAAGTACAAACAACTCATGGTACTGTTTTTAAATCGTTCTAGTCGATTCAAGAGTAATGTTTGCTCGATCGTTTATGGGATCGAGCCAAATCCTTGATACTTTATTGATTCGCTCAAAGTTAGAAAGTAAGTTATATTTCATTAAGTTTAGTCCACATGGAAAGATTTTATTCAACGTACTGTAAGCATTCAGATTCAATAAGACACCTACTAATCATAATGATTGTTATTGAGAGTACACTGTGTCAAACTATGCGTAACTGGCTGAAGCACATAGATCTATGACAAATTCCATTGAAAACATGCCGTAACACAGAAAAATGAACTTCCGCTTGAAAAATCATCGCTGAACTTTCATTAACGATAGGATTGATGCCGATAAGCGGTTGGATTAACTTTAAAGATTCTGACTTGAAAATAGGTCTTTTAAATTATTTACAAATATCTTCTAGTCGGAAGTTTGATGGAAATTCTATCATCTTTGATCAACGAGATTACTATTGCAACTTTCATCTTGATTTTAATCTTATATCAGATGTTCCTCAAGAAAGTAAAAAAAACTTATTTTTATTTTTCAATACCCTTCAGGTTTAGAAATAATAAAAGTTTTAATTATTTTTCTATCTATAATTTATTTAATTAATAATTACATTCGAGATTATTTTGGCAGTATTGAAAGCAATTAACAATTGGCAATGAACTATGAAATCAATATACAGCCTATAAAGTCCATTGAACTAATTATAAAACTAATCTATATAATACTTAAAATTATCTATAAGCTAACAGAGACTTCACTTGATGAGACTCTTTATTGACATTCTTCTTTATGTCTAACTCTTCTGCAATAGAACTCAATAATTTTCATAGCTATCTTCTAGTTTTTCTGTTCTCCATACAAATTTCCTTTTTGTATATTAATTGGTCCAAATTGGAGTTTGCCACCTGATGGGACGGGGTTAATAGTGTTCCCGTGTTGAATATTAATTGGTCCAAATATGTCATTAGCTTTGATCACGTAATAAGAAGCGTGGTTATTTCTCCTTTTGATCTCGTAAAGCTTCGATCCGTAGTTAGTTGGAATGTTTAATTCTTTCTCCATCCATAAGTAACCTTTCTCCGCGACCCACAAAATACTCCCGGGTATAACTGGAATTTGTGACCGGAATTCAGCTATCTCCCAGACAATATGATCAAGAAACTTAGGATTTGATACATCGCGGACAAATTCGTTGAAAAATGAAGGCCTTGCTAATGCAAGTCCACGTGTGCTGCCACCTGGAGTCCCTGTTGAACAAATAGTTATGATTACATGGACGTAGATATTAATTATGGTGTTACCTTTTTATAACACGATGATTATTGATAATATCGTAAAAAAGTTGCTCTAGGCTAACTTTTCGACAGCCCAACAGATAACTGAGATCTTAGCGGTTGAATAAAAAATTAATTTTAAAGTTTACATAAATTATGCAGAAGTTAACTTACATACTGTGCCAATGGTAGCGACGAAAAAGAAGACCAAGGCTTTGATGTACATCATGTTTGCTGAATGATTGGGTCCGACTGTGTCCGAAATTGGCTAGTGAGCCTAATATAGGAACGGGCCACTTAACCTGTGAACTATGATTCATTTCTTTTATTAGATCGCTGAGAAAAAAGGTTGACGACATGAGTTAGAAGTACGTAAGCAATATTTCGAGGGTTCCCGATAATGAAATCGAAGCACCGGGTTAAAGGTTACATCAGGACTGATAAAGTGTGTAGTTTGTAAAGGTTACGAATTTACGATATTTTTTTACGATAATTTATTCATGCGCAGCTCAAGAGAATACACAAGCATGTTACAGATACAAATAACATTAAAAGGGTCGATTTTCAGAGAACAGTTTCAGTTCCGTTGAAAATTTGATCGGATTAGAGTAAAATTGAACGTAACGAATCATAAGGGCTAACTGACGCAAGATAATAAATTTACGAGTTGAAATCAATTCAGCAGTTAGTACGCTTCATTACCGATAAAGAAGCTGTTAATTATTAGAGAATTATTTACATTCGCAAAGGTCACATGTCAACATTCGGATGAAAGCTGTTATTGTTTTGCCTACAACGAGGTCATTAATATGATAAATTTGGAATTTATTGTTTTTCGTGACGTGTTCTTATTGGGTTGTCACCCACAACATGTGTGATACCTACTGCGATCATTTATGGTCAAAGGTCTTGGTACTGTACCCCGAGATATTTTCCGGTTATTCCATGTTACATGTGACCAAACATGACGACGAAATCTAACTAGATAGTCAATTGGGGTCACAGCTTCGGATTGGTTAAATTTTTTAAATACGTCACGTGTGGCCGTATATACTGAGCGGCTTACCTCGACGAAGCACACTCGATTCCAAGCAGTCAGATCGACTGTATCTAGACAATCCGTCAGCTACTCTCTACAATCAAACAACCATGCTTTACGGAAAGACGTCAATCTGCTTATTCTTCCTCATCATTGGAACATCAGGTAAATTAAAAATTAAAAATTTTGATTTTATTTTATATTAACAGTGTAGTATTTTCAAACATGCAAACAAAGTCCTATTTTATTCTCCCAGATGCTTATTTCAGAGTGTGACATGTCAGTCAGTATCAGTAAGCAATCATCATTGAGATTTTCTTAACTTTTACAGTGTTCCCGAACGGCAGTTCAACAGGGTTAGCCTACGCGAAGCCTATGGGAGTAGGGACGGGTATATTAATGGGATTGGATTTCCTAAACAACATAATGTCTTTGAATAAGCAGCCTGAAATGAACATGCCAGACATAATCTACGGATCACTCACCAACAACAAAGACAACATAATTCGAAACGAAAATGTAAATGGTTCGATCTCTTTCGGATCAAATACTGTGCAAAATGGTAACGTTTATGGAGGTCAACCGCCTTATGATAACTCTAATTACTCTGATAACTCTGGTAACTCTGATAACTCTAATGGCTATCAGAATTATTATTGATTATCATGAAGTTAAAGTATCATCCTATCTTATCATTCTTATTTATGATGTTTTTTTAGTTATTAGTAACATTATCAAATTTCCCTTAACACCAGCGTCACAGTTGTAAATAATAATTGTATTCAATTATTTTAGTTCTTGAATATTACCACCAATAGCATGACGTCAGGATCTTTACTTCACATCCATCTTTCGTGTCGATATAACATAACTTGTATGTGAGTGACACTTTATAAGCACGGTTAGTGTTCTTACATTTTTTAATAATTAATTCTTCTAAATATAAGATAGTCTGAAGATGTTATTACTTGTGTAAATAAAAAATTGTAATGCATATAATTTCCAAATACTTTTTATTATGAATTAAGATATATATGTTAGTAATAGAATATTCAGTGAATATGAAATTTGGATGCTCAATAATTTTTATTGAACTTTAAATGATTTTTTTATGTAACTTTACTTAGTATACTATTTTTTAAGATACTCTGTATATTTGAGACAGCTGCAAGGTAATATGACTCCATGACCAATAAGCAATGAGTTGCAATAATAGTAATAATATTATAAAATTATAAAATGAACAAATAGTTGTACAAATTTACTGTTTTTGTTCTTCTTCTCACCTTTCCTCACAAGGACTATTTAAAAAACTTGGCACAATTAGGAAACTTTAGATCACGATCTTTAAAGCATACAAGATCATTACAGAGAACTTATTCTCTTGGTTAATAGCAGATGCATCTGAATTTGATATAATTTCAACATGTAATTTCTAACTAACTACAGTGGAATCTTAATGTACTTAACTCGTCCTGTCATCCCTACTATAGCGACACTTATGTCTTACGTGCGCAAGTCTACGTGGCTTCATGCGTACTAAGCAATAACAGGTTGTCAACATAACCCCAAATTCTATAGTACACTAGAGAATTACTATAGTCCAATAATTTTACTTAAACTATTTAAATATACCCGCCCCTAACTTCTTTTTATTTGATTGACCGGACGATGTCGTAGTCGGGGACAGGATTATCAAATACAGAGAAATTCCACACTATTCCGTATAACTATACCGAATAGTTCAGTAGAAAAATCATAAGACTGTATATCTATATGTATTGTGTACATTTATCCCACTAGAGGCGCTTGGGCATTATCGTGCTATTTTAGCTGTTTTATATATTTTTTTTCACATTCTTTATTTTATTATTATTTCATAATTAAATAAGCATTATGAGTCGTGCACTTTTGGAATTTCCAAACTCTTTTTTAATTTTTGTGAAAAAGAAACTCTAAGGAAGAAAAATGAAGAACGGAGAGCGCAACTGTATGGGAAGTAGACACCCATTCATAAAGGAGATAGTGTGATCGATGGCTTAACGGTACAAAATAATAATTTTATTCATGCCAGTAATGGTGTTGAAAATTTGTATATCATGGTAGTGTTTTTCCTGACACGGAACCATCAATAGAAAAATGTTTTATATATATTCTAAAAAGTCAAACATCCTGCGTATAACGGACGCCATAGTAAAGTGGGTGAACTATTTTGTATTTCAAAGTTTTTAAGTCGAGTTATAAAGCAAAAAAAGGGACAAAATAATAGGAAAAGTGAAACAATTTCGGCAAAACACAATTTATTGAACAGATAATTATGTCTATCATTTAATAAAAATTATTTTCACCCTTCGATTGTACTGTTTGAATGCTATCTTCATGATATAAACTGTTTAACGTCCTCATTAATCCCGTGAAAATATCTTTATTTTCATGTTATTGCATACTAAGTCTGCAATTATCTTCTGATAGTGATCCTTAAAGGTTTATAGTAAGGACAGTGGGACCTCAAGTGATCGTAAAGTAATTATCGGTTCTGCACCCCACAGAAAAATTATATATCCTAAAATATATGCTGGGATATACGAAAACTCGCCGAAAAAATATATATGCTAGGATTTATACGCTAGTATATTTGCCAGTATATACTCCGGATATATCCATGGATATATACTTGCGCTCACATATAGTCTGGTGTGTCGTTGGATTTACAGTCTGGTTCATAATTAATGGCCGTAACACATGTATAGATATCTTAGAATTTATCCTAAGATATATTTTTTCGGCGAATTTTCGTATACTCAGCATATATCCTAGAATATATTTCCAGCCCATATTCTAGGATACATAAATTTTCCCGTGGGGAGCGTAATAAAAAATCCAACAGCTGTCAATTTAGGTCAATGATTCCAGTTAGTCGAATATTCTACAGCTTCAAAGTAGGTACAAACCTACGAAAAACGATTTGCTTAGCTCAATAATAACGACCACGTGACCGAAAATAATGTTGGAATTTTGATGACCTTGATTCGGGGAACTCATTATCATAAACTATTATTTACACATTCCTGGTAAAAAAACAAATCTACTCTGACAGTTAATTGAGGTCAGAGCATCTGTTTGGTTCAATTTTTCAAATACGTCACTTGTGGCCGTATATAATGAGCGACTTACCTCGATGAGGCACACTTGAGTCCAAGCAGTCACGTAAAGGTCAGAGATTATGACAACAGGATAGTAAAATTTTAATCACTCTTATTCTGAGAAATTCACTACCTATCGACTGTTGTTTTCGCATAAGTTAAAATAACAAATCCAGCTGGAAAATTAATTGACGTGAAAGCTTCGGATTGGTTGAATGTTTCATATACGTCACGTTCGACCGTATATAATGAGCAACTTGCGACAACGAGGCACACTTGAGTTCAAGCAGTAGCATCGTGAACATTCAGACAATTGCTCAGTAATTAGTTACAATCTGACAAATATGGCTCTCGGAAAGGGATCACTCTTTTTATTTTTCATCATTGGTACATCAAGTAAGTTTCAATACTATTACAGAAGTGGTGTAGCATTTTCAAGTGTTAAAACTTTGTTCTCCTGCCTTTGTTATCCTACCAGATGATCGGTTCAAAGTCTGACATATCGGTACCAATGTAATCATTACTAAAGTTACTTTTATTTTCACAGTGCTCCCGAGTGGCAGTTCATCAAGTCTTCCATACTCGCAGCCCCCGCCTGACCTTCTCGTCCAAGGCTTGCAAGAATTAGCAAACCATCTTGGAAATCAAGCTCCGTTAAGCAAAAGTCCGACCAGTTACGGATCGATCACAAATCAATTCGGTAACCAGTTTGACGATGACCACATAGATGGAGACGTCAGCCTAGGATCAGGAACTGTTCAAAAGAACAATAACTTCGGTGATGCTGGGGTCCAGACGAATCGTGTGGATACTTATGGGTCAATTACTTACCAAGGATTTAACTCCTACAATTTTGCACATATAGGAGGTAAATTGACTGTGGGGTCAAATACTTACCAAGAAAACAACAAGTTTTAGTATCCTAAGGTAGTTATTTATCTTACAACGATTCTTCACTATCTGCAAGATAATGGTCTCGCCAATTGTCAATTGTTATATTTAAATATTAGTTTTTGTACTGGTTTCGACTTAATGTTTATAAATATACTTTTGTGATGTAATTGTTAAACTACTAATTTTATAGTGGAAAATTTGAAGTTAAGTAAATAAATATAAATACAGAAAATTATGTGATGTTTTTGTTTTAAAAATTAGTTACCGAAATTAAAACAAGTATTCATATATCTATGAAGGATTATTGAGTTATTTCGATCTTGATATTTCCAAGCAAAACAAACGATTATTTTAGCTGAAACGCGGATCATAACGCTCTACTTCCGACTCTAACCAAAATGTGAGCTTAAGCTCTTACTTCTGCAGTATCTAAACGATAGGCTAGCTTAAAAATAAAGTGTTTCTGAGACTTTATACATGATGCTAAAATTAAGCTTTCTTAAACGTTAGCTTGAGATTTTTTAGCGGGGGGTAGGGAAATATTTGTACTCAAAGCTATTATCTAGTCTTCAAATGTCCTGACTATCTTGTTATTACAAATTCAATGATACGAAAAAAATTAAGTCACTTTTGGCTCTTTTGCATCAGCCAGAAATATTGATCAGCTACACTTGAATCCAAGCAGTATCATCATTAACATCCAGACAGTCGTCCAGTTGAATGCAATGCTATAACTATCAAAGCTAGAATTGTTAGTGTCCAATAGTCTGTTAGTGATAATTTCTCTTCCATTTTAGTCTCTAGTCTAACCTGTAACGGGTACTTTTTGACCAATTTTTACCCCCGGCTCGATTTTAAGCTCGCCGGAGTCCAGGATTCTAACGAGGGTAATTTCTAAATTAATTCAACTCGATCATTTAATTAATATTAACAAAACAGAACCTCTTTATTTCAATAAACAAAACATTAAACATTATACAAAGAAAAACGGCGAATAATCAAACTAAACCCATACATACACGGCGTTTACAATTTCTATTACCGTCGTCGGTAATATCATACTCCCGTCGGCCCTCTGGTGCCCAGCTCCTGACGGGTGACTAGTGCTGCCCCGCAGGCCCTACTTCGCGATTCCCAAGGGAAGAGTGAATAGAATCCACCTCTCCCCCACCTACTCGGCTGGGGTTGCCACCTTTTGGCTGAAAGCCTCCAGGTGGAGAGTCGCCTTTACTCGTAGGTAGATAAGTTCACTTACCTGTGGTAGTCCGCACCAGGTAGAGAAAACTCTCTTTAATTTCCTTGGCCAGAAGTCTCCAGTCAAGTAAATTAAACCCAGAGAAAGGTTGCTCAACAGCGGATAATTTTTGGGCTTTATCAACCCAAAAATTATTAATAAAAGCGAAAAGTATTGGCAAATTATCACCACCTGTCGCTCGCCGTTGAACTTCGGGAAATCCCCGAAAATTTATAAGTTTTTAATTTAATTTTCAAAATTGAATATCAAATTCATTCAAACAATTCATCAGATTACATTAATTTCATCAAATTACATTTTCATCCAAATTCGACTTAGAAAAATAATTTCATACAAAAATAAATATTTTACCAAAATTATTTCCCATACTAATTAAATTTCTGGGACTTAGAAAAATAATTAATTGGATATTTCGAATTTATTCGAAATATTTTAATCACTTAATTATTTCAGATAAAGTAAATTTTTGTTCTTTCAAAGAACAAAAATTATCGTGACGCGGATTCGCTTATCTTAGCTCGGCGAGTTTGATCTGCAAGCGAACCGTCGACGCCATCTATCGCTCGGTGGCGAACTACTAAATTCATTTTTCTTTAAGACGTCGTTTAAAATAATTTTAAATAAAGAAATAATTAAACAAATAAAATCATCTACAAATTATTATTATTTATAATAATAATCGTCGGAAACAAAAAATAAACGAAACTCAAAACGAAACTCGTTAAAGTAATTAGTTCAAATAATTATTCTAAACGACGTTTCGATAATTTAACAATTAATATTTTTAAACAATTAACAAAAATAATTAGACTCATAAACAAAAATAAACTTATATACATAAATGCCGTGGCACGGGTATTCAACGCGGTCGTGGTAGCGATGGCTCGCTCGGTCCGTCGATGAGTCCCGTCTCTCGTCGCTCACGACACCCCTCCGCCTCCTCGCTTATAATACCTTCTTCACAAACCTAAAAGATCAATAGTTAAACACTTCTCACCAGATCACGCCATATGACGTTTAAGTTTCGCAGAATATAGTTGTGAACCCGGATGTAAGATACCCGATATCACGCTTGAGTATGACAATGGTCATGTTCGGGTAGTAGTTTTTTTTCATTGTCGATTCTTTTGCCATGTAACAAAAAATTACCCGTAAGCCGACGGTAGAGTAGTCTGTCAACGTGTATCTTTGTCCAGGTCGCCCAATAATTTCTTAAACACGAAAAACGACTTAGGAGGTGTGCTCTCAAACTCTTAAGCGACCTGTAGCTGTGTCTCAGGCTGGCTTAGTGTACAGTGATTTGGACGCTAGACCTTATGTCAGTTTGAAAAAATGATAAACTGTAGTGAGTTGATCACTATTTTTGTTCACTATTCAAAAAGCTTATAAAATCTTTGGTTTTTATCGTTGTTTTTTTTCGGATCCCGATTGTGTCAATCAAAAAATTACTTGCTTTACATCAGGAAGCCTATTAAAACAGTTAGCTAACTCAATAATTTCAATAGCTTTTCAAATAATGAATTAAAATATTGATCAAATAGCCAAGGTACACGGAGAGAAAAATGTGGAAATCATTCCTATAATTTTAATGAAATATTTTCCTATACATTTTAGGAGCGATTACTTAAATTATGGGAATTATACCTATAATTTTTGGGAAACGTTACTATAATTATGGGGATGGTTCCTATAATTATAGGAACGATACCTATAATTATAACTGTAATATCGGCATGATTCCCATAATATATAGGAATAGTTCCCATAATATTTATTTATTTATTTATTGAAGAAATTCGGCCCTACAACTGACGTTCCTTAAAGGTCGTAGAAATTTAATAGTATTACATAGTGAGGAAGTACTTTGAATACAAAATTAGAAGGTAATTTGAATACAAAATTAAAAAAGAATTTGAATACAAAATTGAAAAGTAGTTTGAATACAAAATTTTGAATAACATTTTAATCACATAAGTAAATAAACAATTAATATTATTATTATTGACTCTCCAGTTCAAATGTCTTTATCAAAAATTAATTTGTAACACAACGTCCGAAACTCAGCTGAAGAATTCACGGCCACAAGATCACTCGGTAACTGATTCCATTCCCTCACTGCAGTCAACAAGCTAAATCACCAATAATCACAATGTTGTTGTAAAAAGGTAGCAGCCGATCAAAGTCTTGCTCAAAAGCATCAAACAATGCCGCTCGCGGCGGGCGGTAAATAACACAAACTAATATCTTTCTGCTACTTTCAGCCACTAACTCGACCGCTATATATTCCAATTCAAAATCTGATAAGTTCGATGAGCATGCCACTACCCTTGACGACAATGTATTCTTCACAAACAACGCAACACCGCCCCCATGACGCAACCTCCTGTCATTTCTATGCAGCCGAAAGCTTGGCAAATTAATCTGAGCATCAACAACATTCGCATTGAGCAAGTTTCAGACACAGCAATAACATCAAAAAAAAAATCAGATCTAAATTGTTCTTGAAATTCATCAACATGAGGCACAAGCGATTGAGCACCAAGGTGACACAGTTTCAAACAATTAGGTACACTTGGATTCGCAGCCGAGATAACACGTTGTGGAGAGTCAATATGTTCACGTTATGCAGACAGTTCTTGAATATGATCAAGGTCCGTCGATGGGTACGCCTTGATCGGCTCAGACCCAACCGTAGGACGAACACAAACACATGTGCTAGCAATCCAGGTGCTTCTCTTATTTATTGCTGGATATTTTTCTATCAATAATCGCCTTAGCTTATACAGCGATTGCGGATACCTCCTGCTAACATAAATAGGCACTCTAGGCATGCCTGGAATTATAACATTAGCTGTAAGCTCCTTAAGGTCTCTCCTTACAGCAATGAAATTGTTGACAGTCTGTGGCGACTTACACTTGACAACAATCTCGCGACATCTAGCCCCTGGACCCTTCTTGCCAATTCTGTCCGCATACTGAAATCTATCGCGATTTAAATCAGGAACACCCATCATAGACCCAAGCCGCACAACCATGTCAAGCAAATCCTCTGATGCATCTTCCTTAAAACCAGAAACAACAAATTGGTCATTGAGTAATGTAGACTCCAACTGTAGCTGACGTATTTCATCATTAATGTCAGAAGATGCCTTTACTGTACTGCTAACCTGATCCGCAACCTGCTTAATGAAAGCAGCACTATTCGAAGATCCAATGTCTGGCAACCCTTCTGCCTCAAGCTTCGTGACACGATCATTTAATGTACCGCATGTATCTTGCAATTTGTCAACACGCTCCGTAAGACCTGTTAATTTATCATTCATCGTAGTTAACAAATCTAGCTTGGCATTAATCTGCGCCAGCACTGCAGCAGAGTCCGTAGGCAATGGGCATACCGGACACTTAACCGCTACAAAAGCCTTGGCATCAGCCTTTGTTTGTAAACAATAACGCACCTTAATACAAAGCGTATGAAATATATGTTTACATGATGCACGAGTACTCTCAGCTGAAGCAGTGTCACTGATTTGCCGACAACACAATCCACAGTACTCTGCTTTATCTCCAGCTTTATCTTTTTCTTTATTAGTTTTATCAGTTTTATCTCCAGCCATTTCCACAAGAGGGCAGCCGAATCTCAGATGACCAGATTAAATACCAAAGATGCTCGTACAACTTTATTATCTAGACCTAACCCTAAATTAGCAAAAACCAAACTGTAATCAGCAATTTATATAACCAGTCCTGATTAAAACTAAAAACAATATCGATATAAATATGCAATAAAAGTACTTCAGTGTAAAATACACTCAAATCACCAGAAATATACTAACTGATGCACAGAATGATATAGGAATGATGCCAATAATATTGGAGTGCTTGTAAATTAAAATAAAATTAATTAAAAAAAAAAGTTAATTAAAAAAAAATTTCTACTAGAAAAAGAAAATTCCTTAAATAAAATAAAATTTCCAATTGTTTTGAAATTCCAAATTTTCAAATGTTTTCGCGGCTCAACGTATGTATTGTAAATAAATAATTTTCTTTAAAAATAAAATGAAATTGTGAAAATAAACAATGAATTTCCATATCTATTTTGCTCCTACAATTGTATAGTGAGAAAATATCCTTTTTATTAGAGAAACTTTAAAATTGCTACAATATTTTTCAATATTATTTAACACTCCAATATCAACACGTAATTTGAAGTTACATCTGTCATAACAAAAATTCCCAGAATTATTTATAAATAGTTTTCCTGTTTTCGTGCCTACGTTAGTCACAGGTCAAAAAAACAATTACATAATGGTCTGATGTTTGGCACATGGCCAGATAGTCCGAAAAAACGGAGAAGAGCCGAAATCTGGTTTGCAGCTGTTTATAAATCGTTTGACCTTTGATAAACCTTTTTTTTTTTATCAATATACGTCAGACGCTCTATATAATCAGCCAAGAACAGCATGGAACATCATTATTGTTCTGACAATGAAGCAATCATGTTGTCTACCAAAGCAACCGCGTTACTGCTGTTCGCCATCATTGGTGTCTCATGTAAATATATTTATTATTTATTCTCCTATAACATTATTAATTTATATTGTCGCTGCTTGTGCTCTCAATAATATTATTTACCATAACTTAGTTTGCATTTGAAGTATGTACGGATTTTTTACAAGACATTCCGTAGGACAAAATACTGTAAATTTTTTCACTATACTCTACCTCCTTGATCTTGTCGTGAAATTATATTTATGATGTTATTTTCTTTTCTAGTCGCCGATTCGTTGCAAGGCAGAAGAAATAATAATAATCTAAATAGTGAATTATGGTATAAAGATAATCCTGATTATCAACATTCGATTAATACTGCATCACAGTATGGACAAAATCCTGGTCATCAGAATTCAGCGGCTGACACACGGCGGGATGATAGACAAAGTAATCCTCAAAAACCGATTTCTAACGGATCACTGAACAATCAAAGTCCTGTTAATCAGAAGCCAGCGTTTATCAAACCATTTCCTGAGATGAAACCGTTTAAGGTAACACCAGATTTAAACATGACGATTAAGAGCATTGATAGTCAACGCCCAGCGGGTTCTGGGTCAAAGAACTACTTAGGATCTATAACTATCCAGAAGGGCAATACTTACAACACGGATCCAAATTCCACTAACATTTATGGATCGGTCACTCACATTTCCGGTTCGTATCTATCTCCTGCGGATCAAGAACAACTCGAACGCGTAAACCAAGAATCTCTTAACTCAGATGATTCAGACCCTAGACCATATCAGACAAATGATGGAAGAACTGTCAACGTTCATGGAGCGGTAACCTATCAAGCAAACACAAATTATCCATCTCAGTCGCCCCACTCAACCCAGCAATCGATTAGAAGTAGTCAAACTGCCAGCACTCAGGATCCCGCTCAAGAATCTCCCGAAGCGCAACAATTGAGAAATCTGCTAACGAGAGTTGGCGATCTTACAAGTGAAGTCCAGAACCAAAACGCTAAACTAAGGCGCATACAAAGCTCTATAAATATGATCGATCAATTTGTACAGAGAATTAATAGTACAGTTTATAATTTGTGAAACAGAGCTCAAGCTCATCACTAATGAACAAATTTCTTCTTTCAATGCAATGTGCTGAATGATAATTATTGTAGATACATCTTTACAAAACTTTAATACATAATTGTAATATTAAAAATAGTTATCAATAAATTAAATGAACCTGTTACTGCATTATTATTTTGTTTTTCAATCACAGTAAGAACTTCTACACGAAGAGAAATTTATAGGAATCTTTCCAACAATTATGGGAATGGATCCTATAATAAAATTATCTTTATAGGCATTAATTCTATACTCATTATGGGAACCATACCCATAATTTATTGGAAACGTTCCTATACAATAATGGAATAGCTTCAATATATTATGGGAATGGTTCCTATAATATTATAGGAATGGTTCCTATAATATTATGGAAACTATTCCTATAATATTATGGAAACTATTCCTATATATTATGGGAACCATTCCTATATATTATGGGAATCATGCCGATATTACAGTTATAATTATAGATATCGTTCCTATAATTATAGGAACCATTCCCATAATTATAGTAACGTTTCCCAAAAATTATGGGTATAATTCCCATAATTTAAGTAATCGCTCCTAAAATGGTATAGGAAAATATTTCATTAAAATTATAGGAATGATTTCCACATTTTTTTCTCCGTGTATGAATTTGCGGGTGATCAACCCAACTGTGAGTTACTCAAATACTGAAAGGGAAGATCGCTTCTCCCACTCCTGGTCTCAATCTAATGCTTCACTGCGCAATACGTAGAGCATGCACACATCGTGCCAGCAAAGAGGAAGCGAGATAAATAGCTATTGCCATTTCTATGAACTAGCTATTTTAATGAGCTATAACTATCTTCAAAATTGACTCACCAGAACATTCTTTTTTTTAATAATTATTTTGAAACATACTTTTTGGAGAAAAATGATTCAAAGTTATCTTCATGCCAAATTTATGGAAAAAAAAGACAATTTCTAGATGATTATCATTTCTGATGTTTTTCTATTTAAAATATTTGACATTTTCAATAATTCTCGAATTTTTCGACATTGGTGTTCTGTAGACTTCAATTTTTTCTGTTTAAATTGAAAAAACAATTTGTTTTTTTTAAGTTGTTTTATTACTTATAATAACATTCTAGAAATTGATGAGAATATTCAAATAACCTTAGATATTATTACAAAAACAAAAATAGATGCATTAAAGTATTATTAATCGAGAAAAATCAGGATTTTTTTAGAAATATTAACCCTTTTCCGGCTTGGAGTATCGGTGAGTCTAGATGTGAGTTAAGTGGGGATAGAGCCAATAAAATTCCGTTGTAAGGCAGTATGAGTGACAGTCTAGTTGTGGTAGAATAGACAAGTGCCTCCTTCTACCATTTTTCCGGCCCCCTCTCTAGAAAACAGGCTATACCCGGGAAAAACGGATTAGATCTGGCCATATATAAACAGATCTGGCCAGATCTTTAAATTGTCTCTATCTGACGAGATCTGGCCAGATATAATCAGATCTGGTCAAATTTTAAAATTGCCCAGGTAAAAATGATTATATATAATTATATATACTCATACATAATTATAAACGAAAAATGGCCATACATAATTATATAAAATTATATAGAATTATTTTCATAAAAAAAAAAAAAAAAATCGGCGCGCACGGGAACCGAACCTGGGACCTGACGCTTGAGAAACTAATTCATTACCTGGATATGATTATATCTGATTATGTCTGATGTATTTTTTCACTCAGATATAGTTATATCTGTTTAGATTTGATCAGATATGATTATATCTGATTATGTCTGATGTATTTTTTCACTCAGATATAGTTATATCTGTTTAGATTTGATCAGATATGATTATATCTGATTATGTCTGATGTATTTTTTCACTCAGATATAGTTATATCTGTTTAGATTTGATCAGATATGATTATATCTGATTATGTCTGATGTATTTTTTCACTCAGATATAGTTATATCTGTTTAGATTTGATCAGATATGATTATATCTGATTATGTCTGATGTATTTTTTCACTCAGATATAGTTATATCTGTTTAGATTTGATCAGATATGATTATATCTGATTATGTCTGATGTATTTTTTCACTCAGATATAGTTATATCTGTTTAGATTTGATCAGATATGATTATATCTGATTATGTCTGATGTATTTTTTCACTCAGATATAGTTATATCTGTTTAGATTTGATCAGATATGATTATATCTGATTATGTCTGATGTATTTTTCCACTCGGATATAGTTATATCTGTTTAGATCTGATCAGATATGACTATATCTGATTATGTCTGATGTATTTTTTCACTCAGATATAGTTATATCTGTTTAGATTTGATCAGATATGATTATATCTGATTATGTCTGATGTATTTTTTCACTCAGATATAGTTATATCTGTTTAGATTTGATCAGATATGATTATATCTGATTATGTCTGATGTATTTTTTCACTCAGATATAGTTATATCTGTTTAGATTTGATCAGATATGATTATATCTGATTATGTCTGATGTATTTTTTCACTCAGATATAGTTATATCTGTTTAGATTTGATCAGATATGATTATATCTGATTATGTCTGATGTATTTTTTCACTCAGATATAGTTATATCTGTTTAGATTTGATCAGATATGATTATATCTGATTATGTCTGATGTATTTTTTCACTCAGATATAGTTATATCTGTTTAGATTTGATCAGATATGATTATATCTGATTATGTCTGATGTATTTTTTCACTCAGATATAGTTATATCTGTTTAGATTTGATCAGATATGATTATATCTGATTATGTCTGATGTATTTTTTCACTCAGATATAGTTATATCTGTTTAGATTTGATCAGATATGACTATATCTGATTATGTCTGATGTATTTTTCCACTCAGATATAGTTATATCTGTTTAGATCTGATCGGATATGACTAGATATGATCATGTCTAATGTATTTATCAACCCAGATATAGTTATATCTGTTTAGATCTGATCAGATATGACTATATCTGTATTCGACATACATCTGGGAATGAAGGTTGAAGATCACACAAACAACCTAATAAAAATTTTAATTGACTTGGCGACAGTTTCGAGAACACGTGACGAGTTTTAAGTTCTGACGTAAACGTCGTGTGTCAGATAATCAATAGTATAAAACGGACGATTGAGATCGAGGGCTTCAGTGTTCATCGAACATCGGTGCGATCATGTTATTTAGCAAAGCTACTGCAGTAATACTCTTCGCTCTTATCGGGACCTCTTGTAAGTAAAATAATTTTCTATTTTATTTTCTTCAATGTTAATATATGTATATTACGCAGGACCGCTCATAGTTTTTTTTTTAAGGTATTGAGGCATGGCAGGATAGATACAGAGAGATTGGTGGATTATTTGACAATGATGACCTGCAGGACATCTTGAACGCCAACCCGTCGATGCCGGATACCATAACTGTACAAAAAAATAATGTTTATAACACTCGTCCAAACAACAACGCCATCTATGGATCAATAGTAAAGCAAACGGAACGAGTATATTTACCAGACGACCTCAGTAAGCCATTCAGGGTGCGATCGACTACGCGGGTAGAGCCAGGTGGTCCGAACGGAAATCAAATTTACTACTACCGCTCTGAATACCCTGGTGACATGAACAAAGCTGAAGCCATTCCATTAAAGCAGATGTACGGAACATCTGAACATCAATTATATCAAGACCCTTATTCAAATTATCAAGCAGCTGATTAACGGCCGTACAGATATGAACCTAGTTCTCAGCAAAGATATCCCAATTACTATCCGTATCAATAGGCTTGTAATTTTTTGAGCGTAGTTGTAGAATGAAAATAAAAATAAACAGACTGTTATGAAGATATTGTGTTTGATTTTTATCTTTCCTTACAAGAACCACTTAATTTATTTAGCACGATTAGGACACTTTAGATCACGATACCTAAAACAAAGTCTTTACTGAAAAATTATTCTCTAGGTTGATGGAAGTATTCAACTAATACAGGCACATCTGAATCTGATATGAATGTGAGATACTATCTAAGTATTTTAATGACTTACTAATAACAATATACGTCCAATCGTGACAAGATTCAAGGTCAAGTTCTAAGATTTGTACTTTGTGTAATTTTAGGAAGTCAATCATGACTTTTTTTTTTGAGCGATGAAGGGCCCGTTTTTTAATCAGAGGTTTGTAACTATATTCAGAAGAAGCAAAGGTATTATTTTAATAATCTGCTAACATTGGTCTGAAATAATACACTAACTCTCGTGCAATAGAGTCTCATCAAAGTTAAAAAATTGGCCATAAACAGATGAATTCAATAGGAGAATGAACAAGGTGGTTAAATAAGAGCGCAACTGAATAGAATATTCTTATGACTAGATCTGATCATGTCTAATGTATTTATCTGATCAGATATGACTAGATCTGATCATGTCTAATGTATTTATCAATCCAGATATAGTTATATCTGTTTAGATTTGATCAGATATGATTATATCTGATTATGTCTGATGTATTTTTCCACTCGGATATAGTTATATCTGTTTAGATCTGATCAGATATAAATAGATCTAAACCGTTTTCCCCGGGTATTAACTATTAACAAATTAATTTATTCGATTACAATTATTTAATTTATTAAATTCTAATAAATATTTTTTAACATTTAATAAATATTTATTTGGGAGGAAAGTATATTTAGTAAAATAGTTTATAAGTATTTATTAATAGTTAACAAATATAGTTATATCTGGCTAGATATAATAAACTCTTTTTATGTCTGATTTTTTTTTCAACCCAGATATAGTTATATCTGTTTAGATTTGATCAGATATGATTATATCTGATTATGTCTGATGTATTTTTCCACTCGGATATAGTTATATCTGTTTAGATCTGATCAGATATGACTATATCTGATTATGTCTGATGTATTTTTCCACTCGGATAT